AACTGACTTTTGTCACTTAATATAGGATTGAAGGAGCCATAGCTGAGCTAAGAGAGAAAGCATCACATCTTTTACAATGAAAAAAATGGAAAATACTCCCCTTTGTCCCCAAATATAAACTCAATCTAAATGTATGCTAAGGATGAAAATCAGGGAGCAAAATGTTTGATTCTTAATCTCCAGAGGAATATTTTCTCGTACATTCACTTGGTATTATGAATTCTACAAGTGGGAGTCAATGCTAGCCAAGAGATGGGGCCCAGTTTAAGATGGACGCAAGTAAGATCCCTGAATGAGGTTACAATTATTTACCCCTATGGACGTACCTGTGGTATATTGTAGATACTGAAAATTTTGGCCATCTGCATGGAGTTTTCGGAAGTGAGCCCACCAATGGCAGCCACCACTTTCTCCTTCTTGCCACAGATGTAATTGGGGGGATGCCCTTCGCTCATGAAGAGAAGATCCAGGGTGGTCCAGCAGGTTCTCCAGGGATTAAAAGAATTGTCATAAATTTTGTAACCCAAAGTGATATTGGGTAACAGTTGAGCATTCTGGTTGATCTGGCGGATGGCAAAAGCAAAGGCCAGGATGTGTTGGTAGTTCTTCGGAATCACACTGCAATGAAATCCCACAAAATCACTCATTATCGGGGTTTTTGAGAATCAGTTATGGTATGATTAATTGGGAACTTAATTTGGTCCTCAGAGCAAGTTAGGTATTTATTTATTCATTTTGTTGTTTATTTGTTTGTTTATTATTGCACTTATATGCTGCCCATCTATACATTGTCTACTCTGCGCGGCTCACAACAGACAAAATAAAAAACAGTTAATATATAATAACAATTTTACAGCTATATACAATGATAACAATAATTCAAGACGGGAGGAAGGTAGTACCTGGAGGGAAGGCCTGTCTGAATAACCAGGTCTTAAGTAGGTTTTTAAAAATGCCCAGCGAAGGGGCCAAACGGATCTTGGAGGGGAGTTTGTTCCAAAGAGAAAGAGCCACTGCCGAGAAGGCCTAGTGTCTTGTTTTTTCTTTCCGGACCTCCATCGGCATTAGGCTCCCCAGTCACCCTTCCTGACTGGATTGAATGGTATGGGTAGATGTAGGTGGGAGGAGGCGTTCCACCAAGTATCGAGCTCCTAAACCATTTAGGAGTTTGTATGTAAACATTAAAACTTTGAAATCAATGTGGAAGTGTACGGGCAACCAATGCAAGGTGGCCAGAGTGGGAGTGATATGTTGGTGTTTCCTCATTCCACTGAGAAATCTGGCTGCCGCATTCTGCACCATTTGGAGCTTCTGTATCAATCTCAAAGGTAGCCCCACATAGAGTGCATTACAGTGGTCTAATCTGAAGATTATAAGTGCGTTGACAAGAGTGGTGAATGCCCCAACATCAATATAGGGATGCAGCTGGGCAATCTGCCAAAGATGGAAATATGTGAAATGGACCATTGATGCCACCTGAGTTTCTATGGTGAGAGCCGGGTCCAGATGTATCCCCAAGCTGCGAACCTCACTCTTTGCAATAAGAGTCACCCCTCAAAAGAGATGGAGTTTCCCAAACTGCCGATGGTGCAGGCACCCCCCCTCAGGACCTCCATCTTGTCCAGGTTCAGCCTCAGCCCATTTTCCTGCATCCATTGCAGTACAGTCTCCAGGCAGCGCTGAAGGGACAGAACAGCATCCACTGTGGTTGGAGAAAAGGAGATGTAGAGCTGAGTATCATCAGCATACTGATGGAACAATGCCCCACACCCCATGAAAACCCCATCCAGCAGCCTCATATAGATATTAAACAGCAATGGGGAGAGGGTCGAGTCCTGTGGAACTCCACAATTGAGGCTCCATGGGGCCGAGTCCTCCTTGCCAAGATGAACTCACTGAGAATGATCCTCCAAGAAGGATCGGAGCCAGGCAAATACTAGGCCACCAATTCCCAACTCAGAGAGCCTCCTCCGGAGGATACCATGGTCAATGGCATCAAAGACAGCTGAGATGTCGAGGAGGACCAACAGGGATGTTTTCCACCATTACAATGCCTCTCAAACATGCTTACCACCCAGCAGTCTGCCTGTCTCCCCTTCCTGTGCACCCTGACAAGACATTGCTTTCTTGATACAGCACAAGGAAAAATATTGGATTCTTTGAAGTAGAGCCTGCAACCCTCTATCAAAATAACCCAGATGGGGATTGTAAGTGTTAACTAACAGGAGACCTATGCCAGTAATATATTTCATTGAAGTTAACCACATGCTCTATCTGATCTCAGAAATATAGAAGCAGGAGTGGAAAATCTGTCAAGAGGAAATGGATGAATCCGAATGAAAAATCTGATATTCAACAGTCCACCTGTCAAAAAGGTAAGAACACTGAAAAAAACAAAGCTGCACATGGAGGTCAATGGACATATACATGTGAATTTATAGTTTCTTCCACGTTGACAGCATAAAAAGGCAACTGCCTACTTTCAATAAGTACTTTATTTTGTGAGGATAAGAAACATTCATTGGTTTCAATCTGGATTTTCATATACAAAACATTGAGAAAGAACTACTTACACAGCATTTACTGCAAAAGAATCTGGGTGCATGACAAAGGTTTTCAGAGGGAAGCCAACAAGAGTAATGGATACAAAGTCCCCAAGAATCAACTCATCTGAAGCCTCATGGAAAGAAGTTTGAACTCTTTTCCTCCGATCACCTATGGAAGGGCTCATATTCCAGCTGGAAGAATTAAGCACCAGGAGCCTCAACGAAGCCAGACAGAAGCCTTGCAAAAGTTGGAACTGGTCCCCTTCAGACCTCTTCATGCTGAGCTAAAGGCACCAACACCACCAATACAATCACTCTTGGCTGAAGACACAGAGGAGCACGGACTGGCAGAGCTGTCCACTTCCTCTCTCAAACTGAGATGTTGTCATTTCCTTGGACAGGAGATTTTATACACTAAGTGCAGAGATGCTAATTGAAATGGGCTGTTTTTCCTCTTGATTTTGACACAAAAGCCAGACATTTCTCAGAGGGATTGAGGAGACAGAAATGCTAAAAGCAGTAATTACGATAATTATAGGAAAGGCTGGTTGAATTTGTTATGTTTGAAGCCCTGCTCTATT